AGAAGTTCGACGGTCAAACAGTTCTAACATGATACTCCGTTCTCTGGTGATGGATATGGGTGAAATAATGTTAATGCAAAGGTAAAATTTTTTTATACAGGTTTTTTTGTAAGTGAAACTTTTACTAAGGCGTTTGTGAGATACTTCTGAATAAAACTGAATGGTACACATAAGTATCACGAACATTTGAAATTACTGAAAAGCTAAAAAACAGTTAGATAAAGGGAAATTGTACCATACAAGTATCTTTGCTTATGTACGTATGTTTTGGTTGATTAATGCGCAGCTGTAAGTTTTTTTTTTACAAAATGCATATTAAAATAAAATACATATTCGGAGACGAAACAGTTAAGTCAATTTACTAGAAGGAAATAGGTTATTATAATTTATGAAATAAGTAAATACCTTCTAAAATATATCGTGTTTGATCTCGTTTTAATTTAAAAAATCGTACAATTCAGTTGGTAAAAGTTTCAATTAGTAAAAGTAAAAAATAGAAAAGTTTAACATTACTTTAATATGCCCTCAGTCACCTGTGTGTTTCGATTGTTCTGAAAGTAAGGTGTCTCGCTCTTTCATTCGCGCTGTTCTTCTCTACAGCGGACGAACAGGGGAGCCTGGCTCGCATCTTATCTCAACTTCGAATCAACACCACTGCACGGTTAATGCTCGATTGCAGTCCCGATTTTCGGGCACTAATCGTGGGAATACCGTATAACAAGGTGTTTAATTCGATGCCCGCGGGCACTCTAGTGACACTTCCCTCCCGAAAAGTTAGCATCTCCGTATCTACTTTTATCTGTTTGTATTGAACACTACATAGAACTGCTTATAATACAGTGTTTTGTATTAATTTATGTAAAATTATCACAATTTATATAGTATAATTTTATCAATAAATACTATTTTATCAAAAGTTTTTTCTACAGAAATTAATAAGTAATTTATAACCAAATAAATGTGCAATTTTTGTTCCGTAGTAATTTATAAAAAAATGTCTCACTTTCTATAGTACAGATCTGGCAATAAAGATGATTTTGTCAAAACTTTTTTCTATACAATAATAAAGAAATAATTTATAACCACGTTAAAAAATGTAGTATACATTTGTTTATAAATAATAGAGAATAATGCAAAAAATGTTTTTATTAAATGTATCAAACTACACAAGTAATTATTAATAATTACCGGCAAATATAATCATTACAATTTATTACTTATATTTACCAAAGACACGGATATTATTAATAATGACCGGATTTATTATATTAACTGTAATATATATCTGTTACAGTTTTAATATTTTGTCATATGTTGAAGTAGTAAGACACTGTAGTATTTACATTATAATGTATGTCGGGTCTGAAGGTGTTAAAATGAAGTTCTATTAACATCGGCTTCTAAGTGCTAGTCCAAATTCCTTATTAACGAATTTTCTATAGCTCCAAAATTTGTGTGTTGCTATTCATAACAGTGATAAAATTAATGCATGATCTTTCGTCTGCCAAGTGGAGAAGTGCTAGCTAACAATATCTGGGCGCAGTAATGGAGATTTAGAATGTGAGAAAGGAAATGGCTGTCGAGAGAAGGTTCGAAAGCAAATAGGTGATTTCACATAAGAAATCTAGATCATCAGGATATGTGGGTATCTGAAACCATCGAGACTAGAACTGAGAATCCTTATCGAATTCAGGTCGAGATCTCGAAAGTTTTTGAACATCGATTTACACGTATCTAAATATAAAATATCCAGTTCGAAAATGTATTTACTAAATGCGTTATCTATAATATAATAGAAGACAATGCAAATTTCAAAGGCTCTTATAATCCGTATAAAAGAATTGAAACTAGACGGTTTGTCTTTAAAAATATCAGTGTGCTTGGATTTTTCAAGAACCTTTGAAATTTGCTTGATATTTAAAATTGAAAGATGCACGTGCATAATTTAATTAGTCAACAAATCAGAGATTGATACGTAACTGTTCCTCTTTTAGTACTTTAAATCTCGATGCATAATTCAGTACTTTATGGAAAGACTTCCTAGAAAGTTTAAGAAATTTTCGTCCACAAAGGGTTAATAATTCCTCGAGAAAATACTTGTACTTTTATAATAATTGTGGAAGAAAAGGTATGAAGTACGTTATTTTAATCCGCACAGCAGTTCTGGTGTTAACAGAAGTGTTCGCATTTTTCTGGGAAATTCACATCTCGGATCTATGAATATTAAATGATGTAAGGTATAGTCTCCAGTTATGTACACGCCAATGCATATGTTGTGTAACTTGTTCTGTTAGAGTTTCGTAACAAGTCACTGGCACATGTTCCGCGTTAAATTTCTGTCCATACTCAGTGGAAATATCGAAGGTAGTCTTTCTTCTTTGACGAGATACATCACTTGAACTATGTAGTATGTTAGTTTGTGCTTGTATTATCTATATATTTCATTTGCGTTTTTCTCGCATTTATAACAGTAACAATTTAATCCAATACAATTATCGAAATTTTATTATTAAGAAGTTTTTTTATAATAATACAAAAGTAAATCTCAGAATTTTTATTTTTAAAATATATTTATTTTTCTTTCTTCTATTTTAAGCTTTTGTGTCTTAAATTATTATTTGCGTTTTCTATTGTTTTTATTCGATATATTTTTTAAAGTGTTTAAAAAATGTTAAATTACATAATATAATAAAATATAATTCATTTTGTACCAAGATTAATACTACATATTGTAGTTTTTATTATGTCCTTCGACTGGCATATATCTTTCATATTTCGAAACTTCTGGCTGAAATTATATTATTGATTTCTATTTGTTCTTATATATTTAATTTTATTTACTTGTAGCATTTATATAATTATATTTAGCACTAGAAAAGAAATTAGCTATTATAAATTTAAATTATACAATTCTTAATTCTTCATTTTCTTCATTCTTAATTTCGATTTCTGTTAGTATTACATCGGTACATTTGAATTTCATATTTTTAATGTTCATAATTTTTTTGTCTTATGTGTGTTTGACTTATTTTTGAAGAACACGAAACGCTCGGTACGAGGTGATTCCTCTATTAGAACTCTATGATTAGATGTTCGATTTGTGGGCATCGGGAATTATCTACCAATGATTCAAACCTCCTAATGGAGATTACGGGCGGATTTCCATGGTATAGTATGCAAAATACGAGGTCTATGCTGAGACCATGAAATGGAACGCTTAGGAAAATCGAACGTTGAATCTTGTTCTGCGTACGTTTCACGGGATTCGGCAATATTTAAAACACAAAAGTAAATAAAGATAGAAATAACAACCAACACTTTTGTTCGATGCTGATGAATAAGTAGCCAGTCGAATAAGAATTTAAAGAAATGAAAATTTTATTCATATAATTATTTCTTTTGCGTATCTTATACTATCTGCGACCTGTACCAGTGAATACTTCAGAAGAATTATTTGTTACTTCAATCTATGAAAATAGTTTTTCATACATATAAAAATATATTATCTGCAGAACTGATAATGATGTATTTGAATAAATTATTCGAAACTTTCTCGATTATTATGTAATAGTTTCTTTATTCGTTAAGTAGTGTATGAATATTTTCATTAGCTAGAGTATCACAACATTATAAACTATTCACTCAAGTTATTCACATTAGTAATGTATTATCGGCGATTTGCACAAGTCGACGAAATCACGTCTCTGTTCAAGCTAAATTAACAATCATTATTGACCCTTTGAATTAAAAAGTTTTTTGCTGGAAATATTGTACGTTTTTTGATGAAATATAAACAACAGCTTCTAAAATTATCGAGAGATCACACCCAGATTGAGCAACAATGCTATTTAATTAAAATATTTATTATATTGATACGATATATAAATCTTCCATCAGAATAAAAATCATATCTGTTATTTACGTGATTTGATCTATAATATTATTATGTAGTTCAACTTATGAATTTGTGTGTCATTAGTAGGAAAGTGTATATTTTTTTCACAATTTTGACATGGTATTAAAAATATATGAGCGAAAGGAATATAATTTATTGCTCCATGGTTAAATAATAGACTTTATAATTTTACTTTATAAAGTCATATTTGATTTGACCGAAGGTTTCCTCTCAAGTGTAAAGAGTTGGAAGAACATTAACCTCCCGACCTACAAAGTTGTGTCAGACTCGTAAAGAAAATTTCTATCTGACTTCGAGAAATCTACGTATTATTTATTTTTTTTAAATATAAGTTAAAAATTACTTTTCTATTATCTATCGTTAACCTTCGGAGTAAACGTAGACACAGAATAAGCATCAAAATGCTTTCTTTTCCTAATATATTATTAACGATACGGTAGTTGTATTGATCATAGTTAAGAAATAAATCATAGGGCAAGGGGTTCAAAGTAAAACTACTTTCATCAAATATTTTCTACCACGAACACACCTTCATCCGCCACTGTACTCGCGCATTAGTTTCTCCTCATAATTCATAATCCCACTCTCTTACACACTCGTCTCCGGGAAAAAGGGAAAGAAATAAAAAGAAAAAGGAAAAAAAGAAGTTTCAGTGGGAAATCTTGTAATGGAGCCAATTCAAACGTTCGCTTTTACGCATTCCTTTTCATCCGTGGCATCGAAAGAAACGAACCTACCCCCGTTACCTCGGAACGCTTCCGCATACAAGATTAAGGAAAACACATTTTCCAGCGGCGTATTCGGGACTACGGGATTCTCTCTGACTCTTTTTCCCTCTCCCTGTCTCTCTCTCCTCCCCTCTCCCTTTTTGATCTCTGAGATGGCTAGAAGGGTAAAGGGTATGAAAATAGAATGTTATTGCCCGTTTGGACGTAGCCGTGCAGTCGATATTCTCGTTTAAAGCGGGCACTTGTCCCAGCCAAGAAAGGGAAGGAAATGGAGCAACGCGTAGAGAGGGCTTTTATTGACAACGAATATCGGTTATCGAGATGTTGTTGAGAGGAACGTTTGTCTCTGCTTTCAGCGCCGCGGCTCTATGGCGACAGGGTACCTGTCAAGTTAATCAGGACGAGCAGCAGCAAGGTTCAGCAGAAGATCGTCGACACCCACAATTACTTTCGCACTCAGGTCAAACCGCCTGCTGCTAACATGCTCGGAATGGTGAGTCTTTAACAGGTCCTATGACATCGTTAATTTCAATTATATTTTGCTTATAAAGTATATTATTTAACTGAATTTGAATGATACTAATTCGACTATTGACTTTTTAACCTTTATCCGCTTGCTCTACGATTTATTTCCCAACTATGATCGATACGCCTACTTTCTCATTAATAATTGAGAAAAATAAAAAATATCTACGCATATTCTTTGTTCATGTCTCCTTTAAGGTATAATAATTAATAATAGAAGAATAATACTTAATTTAAATTCAAGAGAATAGAGTAATATTTTTACTTATTAAATTCTGTTTAATCTCTGAGAAAGTGATTATGTGTAAAATCTTCACTACGAGTCTGATACATTGTTATAAGGCAAGGGGTTAACACTGAAACTACCGGACGGGTCAAAATTACCCATTCCTGATTTCTTATTTTTACAATTATTAAAAAGGTAACAGATGTTCCTCTGAGAAATTATTGGTAAAAGTGTCGATGTATCACGTCCACACCGATATGGAAGATTTTTGCATATGTTGTTGCAAGCATGATTTTGAACAACCTTTTGCTTTGACACAAAATGTCGCTGACATTTAGTTTCCGAGATTATCGCGAAAAACTTTTGTTACTACTACATTGAATTTTATGTACATGGGCGCGCTCGTGAGACGACCAGGAATATAGCCGTATGGGGACGCTTTTTTAAAACAGTTTTGACTCAAGTGTGACAATTTCATACCTTGCTTGATAAAAATATGCATATATAAATGAGTTTCTCTCAAATAATAGATATTAGTATAAGTGGGGGCTAGTTTAGTTTGGGGGAGGAGGGAGGCATTTATTTTATAGTTGCTAAAAATTCATTTCAATATTAATATAAATGTTCCATTTTGCCGAAAGGGTTGTGTTTTCTTAGGCTTCTGACATTGTAAAAGATAGAATTGTAATAAAATTATAGTTTTAGGAGCCTCAGGAAATCTCTCTTTTTCAGAAGTCCTGAACATGTTAGGGAACTCGACGCAATATGTTCGAATTCTTGTACACTTGTACATAATGTTAACTAATTCGCGAAAAATACAAAATGTCCTTTGAAGGAAACCTTGCTTGAAGTTTTACATGTAGTATGTTTTGTTCTATATAAATTAAGGTATACAAAGTCAAATGTAACCCTTTAAAACAGCGTTTCTTAAACTATGGGGCGCGACACCAAATGGGTCGTAAAGCGACATGTTGGGGTTGCGAAAATTTAATTCAGATACATGAGTTTAAAGAAACATTAGTCCCTTTACTATCTTTAATTCAATATATCACATTTTTTGTACAGTGCAGTTATAAAATCGAAATGCTGGCCAAGTTGAGCTGTAAATTATATTTACATATTAAAAAATGCCACTAAGTCTATTTAAATCTGGAGTCGCGAAATAATCTCGATGATAAAAAGGGGTCATAAATGAAAAAAGTTTAAGAACCGCTGCTTTAAAACAATCTACTATTCCAGAGATACATAGCTTATTTCTCCGTTCTTCGGTAGAAGTTCTTAAAAATGTATTGCCTTTCCTACGAGCAATTTGTCACCTGTCGGTGTCTCTATCGACTTTTAAATGTAATTCTCTTGGCGTCGCGTTCGGCAGCAAAACTTGAAGCTGTCTGGTGCAATTATCATTCCCATTGCTTCCAATATCTTAAGAACAGGTGAACGGTCTCCATTGAAAATTATTATCTCTAAGTAAATATCAATACAAACAGTTTCAACGCTGCAGGATGAATGTCTTGCCGTGAAATATCACAATTAACCTTCAGATTTTTATGAATTTATAGGTAATAAATCTATTTAAAAAAATAAGGTAGAATTTTCCATATAATTGCATTCTTTCTTATATTATGTTTAACCTATTAAAATAAAATTCTATTTTACTTTAATTTCACAATTATCTGTTATAAAAACGCAAATTTGTATAAAAATTAGCAGTCTCGGGATAATATACTGATAAAATTTTCATTACCATTCCAAATTATTGAGTGTTGTAAATAAAATTAGTAAAAAGTTTTTTCTGATTTTTCACAGTTATACTGTGGTTCGTAAAAAAGTCGATTCTTTTTAATTTGATATATCGAAAGTATAACTATTGAAAAAGTGCTTTTCATACCTTTTAATGATATTCGAAAAAATAACGAAGTTAAAAATTCTTTTGTGTTGCACTGCCAAAGTCCAACTACAAGACCTCACAATTTTAAATGCATTTTTCTCGAAACTGCATGTTACGAATTGATTGCCATCACTCACGGCCGTACCTTGTCCGGAGTGAAAAAATCCAGTTTTTTTTTATCCCACTTCTGAATTTTATAGACGTTTATTTGAATGATGATAATATATTAATTTTTGTTGTCAACACAAACTTCGTTGTTTTTTTTTCTTTTTCGCGTTTATTCAAAACAACGCATGCACACACGCTACACCCATACGTACACACGCACATCCATGAAGTTTTACATCAATAGACCTACGCGTCTACAATATGTAATACTTGTTTCTATTTGGTACTTACCTGCAATAACTACATTTATACTGTTTGATTGTGAGCCAACTTTGACGTGTAAATACTGTAAATACTGTAAATACTGTAAATACTGTAAATACTGTAAATACTGTAAATACTGTAAATACTGTAAATACTGTAAATAATGTAAATAATGTAAATAATGTAAATAATGTAAATAATGTAAATAATGTAAATAATGTAAATAATGTAAATAATGTAAATACTGTAAATACTGTAAATACTGTAAATACTGTAAATACTGTAAATACTGTAAATACAGTAAATACTATAAATACTATAAATACTATAAATATTACAATAAAGACTATAAATACTACAAATACTATAAATATCATAAATATAAATGGTATAAATACTATCAAAATGCAGTGGTTTTCATGAAATGAATTCATCTTGTCAACTGAAGGTAGCTAGAGAAATCTGTTTACTGTACCTAATACTATTCTAAACATCGCTCTAACGAATCAGTCGTTGGTAAATCCTCATAGATTGGCTTAACGACTTCTTGTGCTTGCATTAATGCCTTTTTGCACAAACTCATTAAGCGGAGTATCGCGTTGAACTCTTTTTCCATCTCTATTTTCCCCGCAGATTCTTCAACTCTTTCTTACGATTGCTCAAACTCGCCTAACTCGTTTATTTTCTTTCTCCGCGCTTTACGTATTTTGCAATTGACTTATTCGTTTTACTCGTTTGTGTTTTAATTAGCATCGTTACGCTGAACAACTGAGAATATCCCCGTTTCTCTCAAGATTCATCTTCTGACACAGTTCAGTTTACTTTAGATCGGCCTTTTTTCAAAAGTTCTCTCTGTTCCTTCATTTCCAGAATGCTTAATAAGTAATTTATAAATAGATCCTGATACTGTGTGCAGACTTTTCATAGTTCAATAATTTACTCTCTTCTCGGAGCACGCTGCTCTGTTTGAAAGGTCTGTACCTGTGTCAGATTTTCTAATTCATTTAAATCTTCTTGGGATTTCAATCCTAAGACGTCATTTTAGAAGAGAGTACAAGAAATTACAGCATGCAACGAAAATAGCAAAAACAATGGAAACAAGCAATAACAATAAATATTCAAGTAATGCTCCTTAATTGCTTTTCATGTGCCTACATATATTTCACAAATTTTCTTTTGTTCGAAGTTTTTTATACCATATTTCTTACATGATAGTCACATTAAATGTGACAAAAAGAAATAAATATTTCCTACTTCTTTTTTATTTATCTTTCCTTTTTACGAAATATATATTTCTATTTGCTTTCTTTTATTATAAATTTAAATTACGCAAATTGTTTCGATGCTTTGACAGGTTTTTGCTACTTTTTCATAGTTCCACTGTTTAAAAATCCATTGGTGGATCTTAAACAATGTATTGGGCAATCTAAAAGTTGCCGAATTTTTTATTTCGGATAATCCGGCTCCCACCTGCAGTGGTCGTCACAAAATACGTAATCGTTAACTACGTTTCTTTTTATTCTATTTCTTTTACTCTTTTCGCAGTTAAAATTTATTGAAACTTTTTGAAAATGTTTTTCCTATATTAAATCAATATTATTGACCTAAAAATATCGATTAATTTTCATGCAAAGTATTTCTGAAGTGCGTGATTTATGTCGTTCTATTTTATCTAATGCTCTTCCAAATTCCAACGTTCTCTCATTTTCAGAAGAATGATTTAAAAAATCATTTCTGATGCTCTTATCAATTTTTTAACCTTAATCACGAAAATGTTTCCTATTACATAAGTATTTATTAACATTTTTAATTTACCATATTAAACATTTAAGATACTAAATATTAAGCAAAACTTCTCATTTAATTGTAGTTAACGTTTTCCAACAAGAAGAACAACGATATTTCCCCACTAACAAACACACAACAAAAACACCTTATTGTTGAAGAATGAAGAACTAAAAACTAATTAAAAATTCATTAAAACCATTAAAAACTAACTTTTCACTGCCTTTTTCGCAAAGAATTAAATACTATATAAAATTTTGATACGCATACAGTGCGCTGAGTAGCATTTAATTAGCAAAACTATTTTCAGAACAGAAACAAAAAATACATTAAGTCATCCCATAAATAAAGCGATTTTTAATATCTTTCTTAGTTTTAAAAATTAACACGGACAAAAGCTTTTTAAATCTAACTCTATTCTATACATAGATAATTTATAAATCATTTATAGAGATATTATAGACATATTATCTACAACTAATCTACAAATAACGAAAGAAAATATATTTTAGATTAAAAAAAAGTTTCGTTATTTTAAAAAATAAAAGAAGTATAGAAATACATTATTTATAGACTGGTCCAATATTGCTTTATTAAATAGGATATCAATTTTAAAATCATTTCTTTATCGTTGTGCCAGTGAACATTGGTCTCAGGAATCAGACGCCACGTACTTAGCGGCATTTGTACGCATAGA